AGACCTGTAGGTAACATTGCAGAGTAGTGTCACTGAGAAGTACCAAGTTTGACAAATTTTGATTCTATTTCCATACAAAGAGACAGAGGCATTCCCTTCTGAACTTGCAAATTTAAGGTGTTGGCTCTCTGCAAGGTACTTCTGGCAGAACTCCATCCCTGGAAAGACAGCACTTGGACCAATCCTGCCTTGCCATTTGCCTGACAGCAATGAAATTTCCAGTGTTATTCGGGCTGTGAAATCTGGGCTCATGTCTGCTTCTGTTTTGACCTTTCACTACTTCCTGCTCTGGCTGACTGGCCACCGGCCAACCCTTCCTGCAGGTCGGTTGTGTGCTAGGAGCTGGAAGAAAGGACTCACTAGTTAACCAGCATGCCAATATCGAAAAGGTCAGCACAAGCCAGTTTTCACTACAGCTGTACGTCAAGCCGACCCCAGCGTGTGTGTGAAAGTTAGCAAGGAACATCTCAGTAGAAATGCCCTTCTCCAAATTTACTGCAATAATGAAACAAGACAATAGACCAACACAACAACTCTGTGCAGACTAACGTCAGACAAACCACCTCCTGCTATGTAGGTCAGTTGTCTAGTTCATGGAGGGCTAGAACTCTGAGTACGACACTGTGCTCTGGACTTCCTTTTGATGTTGGGTTTTGTTTGTTTCATTTTATACACGTATATAATGTGCTTTGATCAAAGCCACCCCTATTCCCTCCAACTCCTCCCTTGTCCTTTCTACCACTTTTCCCTGGGAGTGCATGAGCCCATCCCCCATCCCTGCTGGAACTTTGCCTGCCTTGATCTTACACAGGTCTTGTGCCTGAGGTCACTGAAGTAAAACTGTAGTTTGTATTTTTCTAGGTGAAAATTTTCAAGTCCAGTTTTTCTCCAGATGATTGATTTTTGCCTGTGTTAAGCTTGAGGATTTCATTTCTAACTCAGTTTTTATTTTTCTTCTGTCTTTGAAATACAGTTTCATCTTTGTGCTGATACGTGTAATTAGAGAAGACCACCATGGGTCCAGGGAGATGTCTCAGTGACTCACACATGTGCTGTGCAAGACAATTAAGGAAGATGTCTACCCAGCAACAAACCCTGGCTTCCATATGTGTACCCCTCTCCTCCCCCACACAAAATAAGTAAATAAATAAAAAACTAAGACTACTAAAACAAACAAACAAACAAAGTGTTAAGCTGAAAATACCTCAGGCTTTAATGAAGCTATTGAATTTATGGAACATATATTTTAGTAAGGAAAGTTTATCTGTGATAACAAATTAATTCTCTCAACTCCATGCCCAACACAACTTTCTGTGTGGATCCTGAGGACCTGATCTCCAGTTCTCAGGCTAGCACGGCACATGCTTTAGCCACCAAAACATCTCCTTGGTGGTCTTCTTAATTGCATGTATCAACACCAAGATGAAGCTGTATTTCAAAGGCAGAAGGAAAATAGAACCCGAGCTAGAAATAAAATCCTCGGGTTTAAAACAGACAAAAGTCAGTCATTTGAAGAAAATCTGATGTAGTGTCCTGTCATATGGTATTTTCAGCATGGGTTAGCTTGGTCTGGCTTCCACACTAGCTCACAAATCATGGTCTATGGACACTCCTTCATCTGTTTTTTGTTGTTTGTTTCTTTTTTTGATTTTCAAGAAAGGGTTTCTCTGTGTAACAGCCCTAGTAGACCAGGCTGGCTTTGAACTCACAGAAATCTGTCTGCCTCTGCTTCCCGAGTACTGGGATTAAAGGCATGTGCCACCATGCCTGGCCGAGACTCCTTCATCTTAAACACATACTGTGTCCACCTTAAAAAGACAATTCCTCTCTGTTGATGCTAGGTTGCAAACACTTTGCTTCTGCTCCCTGTGTTCTGGTCTGAATTTGTCACATGGTCCCACCCAGGCTAGAAAAATGAGTGATCACTTGGACGTTCCTCTAGCAACAGATGTCTCTGCCCACTTTATGCATAATAGCCTTGGCATATTTATAATCTTACTAATAACTGCATAGCAGCTATTTGTCACTTCCAGCTCTGTACCAGGAATGGACTCTTGAGACCTGTGTTGTTCATCTGAAAACCGAAGCTCCTGGAGGGTAGTATGTCACTTATAGTCATTCTGGAAGCATCTGCCATGCTGCAGTGAGAGCTAGAAGAGATTAATTGGGGGCAGCCCCCCTGAGAGGTTCAGGGGAGTGAGTGAAGGTAAACACAGACTGATTCTACACCACAGCACCACACTGAAAGGATAGGGGAAAGGAAGAGCCAGGCTGTGACTGTTGAGCAGCTCCGAAAAGATGCCAGCCCAACAGAGCACAAAGGAAAGATGCATACCAGAGGAGCCCCACATTTAGAAATGGTCATGCACTGGTACCAATACAGTGGTACTGATGCACTGGTACCAATACAGTGGTACTGATGCACTGGTACCAATACAGTGGTACTGATGTACCAATACCCAAGCACTGGTCCTCATATACTGTTTCCCATGTTCTGGTGCCCTTGAATGGTTCCATTACTGGCTCTGATGATGTGTGCTTGGCTCTCACATTGACACAGATCCTTGAGATGCTGCCTGAGGATGTTGGCTGATTGCATTTATCTCATCAGGCTTTGTCTTGCAACAGTGCCACAGAGAGGAAGAGGGGGTGAGAATACAGAAGCTCCCCAACATATAATGGTTTGACTCTTGAGTTTTGAGGTTTGTGATGGCTGGTGTGAAAGTGATACACATTTAGTGGAAAACCATATTTGAAATTTTAAACTCAGACTCTTTCCAGGGCTAAGCAGCATCTCTTGGGATGCTGGCCAGCCACAGCAGTCACAAGGATAAGCACTAGTGCTCTGTGCTGTACTGTGTAGGTGGAGTTTTTCATTGGGACCACTGGCTCCCCAATAAACGACATGGAGACTTATTATTAATTATAAATGATTGGCCAATAGCTGAGGCTTGTTACTAACTAGCTCTTACAGCTTAAATTAGCTCATATTTATTAATTTATATGTTGCCACATAGTTCATGGCTTGTTACCTCATCTTCTACATGTACTGATTTCTCTGCTTCTGGCTGTCGACTCTGCCCTTCTTCCCAGCATTCTCTCAGTCTGGTTCTCCAACTTAATCTCTTCCTGCCTAGCTTTTGGCTAGTTAGCTCTTTATTAAACCAATGAGAGCAACACATCTTCACAGTGTACAAAAGGATTATTCCAGAGCAGTACTGTGTTGCTAAGATATGGTGGTCAGTAAGTTAGGGAACCAAATGCACTTTTGACTTATTACATTTTCAATGTACAGTGGATTTGTCAGACTACATCCCCACTCTCACTTGATGAACACCTGTACAGAGTTCCATATCATGCTGCTAAGACTATCTGTTCCTCCGGGATGCATTCTGACTGCAGCAAAATGTTTAATGTAATCACACTGAGTAAAGAATGACCTTTTAAAGGAGTTTTAAAACACCACAGGAAAAAAGAAAAAGTTCATACAGTCAAGATCTCAGAGTTACAAACTTGTGTCTTTTTTTTTTTTTTGACAAGCTATAGGACCTTCTCAGAAGTCACTTTAACCTCTGCGCCTTGGTTCTCTCTTCAGTATATTAGATGGTTGTTGGATTTGCTCAGCCATACTAAACATTATCACACTGCTTAGAAAGCTTGGGAAGGCAGGGATTTTTGTCTTTACAAAACCCAGTTTCTGGCTCAGTAAATCTTGAGTGTGCTGATTCTGTATCAATTTCCTTCAAACTGGGACATTCCATCTTGTACGTTCAGGAAGCAACTTACAGGATCCAACAACTGAGAAGTCTCAGGAGGATTACACCCATACCCTCACCTCCCCCTCCCCAGCCCCCAACCTCCACCTGCCAAGGTTTTATATAAAAAAAAATCATCAATAGCTGTGGAGAACAGCTTCTCTGACAGGTCCAGCTGCCTGCAAGTCATGCAGGAGCTCATGGGGAGGGGGATGCAGCCTTTGTGAACTGTTAGTTACATCGGGCCATTTTAGTGTTGCAAGGTCTGGTTCATTCATGCTCCTTAACTAATACTAATAAACTCACTGTATCTCAAAGCTAGATCAGAGGGGAACTGTTTCACTGGTCTGTAGTCAGTCCCCTCTCTGGGGTCTGTAGATATCTTAACCTTCCTCTACAGTAAGTCACACAGCGTCTCCAGCTTTTTGGTGGTGCTACTGGTAGGTGACATATACTTTGAAAACTACTAAAGCAGATGTCCAATTTTCTGATTCAACTACACTGCTTTACAATGGCTTTCTACAGTTATTTGTATCTACTTCACCATCGTCTGTTAAAGACTTTATATCTATCTAATACCTCTTCAGACAAAGCACAGGTTAGTCCAAACATTCTTTGATTTATTACCATGTGACATAGATCGTGCTAAGTACAAAAACAGAAGAGATAGCTGTCATCATCAGTACCGTTCTCACTGTTGACATCAAGAGTGGACACTGAAGACACAGTGTCTCTGGTTCTGCCTGCCCTTTCCATTCATTATTTCCCCAATTTAAGAGTTTAAGGGGGCCGGCTGGTGGTGGCACATACCTTTAATCCCAGCACTCGGGAGGCAGAGGCAGGCAGATCTCTGTGAGTTTGAGGCCAGCCTGGTCTCCAAAGCAAGTTCCAGGAAAGGCGCAAAGCTACACAGAGAAACCCTGTCTCGAAAAACAAAACAACAACAACAAAAAAAAATTTTTAAGGGTAGATCCCATGTTAATGATGAACAATGGAAGGAAGGGATGCCATCTTTGTAGCATGAATGAAGCAAAATAGACTTGAGAACAGATAGACAAAGCCAGGAGGAACAATTCAGGGAAAGGAACGTCATGAACAGTAAGCATGAGCAAATGCCTTTATGTTTGGGGATAGAGTCTGGTAAAATCTTAGCGTAATGTTCCAGTGTGATGGGAGGAAGGAGTGCTGTTTGTAGGGTGGAGGGAAGGGGGAAAATGGGTTCTGACATGCAGTTTCATTCCATAGATCCAGTACCTTGGCTAGCCCTGGATTTTATGTTGCACCACTTATTGGGTAAGTAAGCAGGAGCTGATGATTTTACTAGAAGGAAAAGAAAATACAGCCGAGGAGACGCTTAGCTTTGTGCAGTCAGCTGTGGCGTATCAAACAAGCCCCCAAGATCTCTCAGCATCCTGTTCTCTATGATGAACACAGCATTCACCATGCTTATGACAAATGAGTGAGTATGTTGGTGACACCTTGCTAGTCACAAAGCTCTGTCTGTACAACACCATGAAGAAAACTCATACATGTATTATGTGTTCATGATCATACTTCCTTTAAAACTTTCCAAGCTATCTTGTTTAGCAGCAGATTGTGGTCCTTCCTCCAAAGGCCAGCACCCTCCATAGAGAATTCTCTAGCATTTACTCAGGTGCCTGAGGGATGTCCTGTACTCGAGGCAGCACTATGAATATGGAACGGGAACCTTTTCCTCCTCATGTGATAGCACAGGAATTTCCCCACACATTGGGATAGGTGGCCCTCTCCCTGCTGCTTGCAGATAGGGAAGTCCCAGAGAGTGGGCCCATGAGCTGTTCTGTGGTAGAGAACAATACAGAGATGTCAGGAACATAGTGGAAAACCAAGACGTGGTCAGTCAAAATATGTGTAATTAATATATCCCAAGAGCTCAATGGCTTCTGTCTCTGATTGGAGCCTAAAGGAAGGAAAGAGGAAAGGGAAAACTCCAATCCAATTAAAGAAAATGCAGCCCAGGCTGAGGTCAAAGCTGCACTCTGGGGATGTCTCATTAACCACTGAGGGTAGACTTTGAATGGGTTAAGAAAAGTTTGACCCCTGGCACTGAGAGTATGTTGTCAAGGAAAAATTGGATGCTTAGCCCAGAGAAAATGTGAGCAAGTTTGTCTGCAGTTTGATTAATAAATGCACATAGGGTCAGTATTGGGGAATGGAGTTCATCTCTGAGAAGTGTGCTGTGGAAGCTGGCTAAGAAGGGACACGCTGGTGTCTGGGTTATATCGCCCTCCAAGCACATAGCTAAATTGAACTGGAAGGCGTTCCAACAGTGGGCTGGCTACAGAAAGTAATTCAAAATCCAGAGGGGAATATTTTCAAAGGCTAGACAATAACAAATAATTTATATCTAGCTTCAGGATATATACTAACCCATTTCCTCCCGCAGAGCGTTTGCTTGTGCTTTAGTGTCTTGTCCAGATTAATATTAAAATGGACCAATGGTCTCTGGGACCTCAGCAAATAAACTAGGATGGGGTATGTGGGGTCCGTTTCGCAAACACAAGGTGTGAGGTGACTAATAGTTGTCCAAGTGTCGGTATAGAGCAAGTCAATGAGGCTCCCAAAGCCCTACAGCAGTGGTTCTCAACCATCCTAATGCTGTGACCCTTTAATACAGTTCCTCATGTTGTGGTGACCCCCCCCCCCACACCAACCATAAAATTATTTTCTTTGCTACTTCATAATTTTAATTTTGCTACTGTTATGAATCATAATGTAAATCTCTGTGTTTTCTGACAGCCTTGGGCAACCCCTGTGAAAGGGTCTTTTGACCCCTAGAGGGGTCATGACCCACAGGTTGAGAACCACTGCCCTACAGTCTTACCCATGAAATGCTTGGCTACTTCCAAATCTCCTGGAAAACCTGCCATTGCAACAAACACAGCCATGTATCGGAAACACGGTGAGTCTTTAGGACAAACTGGCACATCTCATAAATATGCTAGGATTCTCTCCTTCCCTGTTTGTCCTAATCATAATCCTGGCTATTCTGTAACCTCCTCTATTTTCATTTAATCTGTTGTTATGCTTGCCTAGTCCAACATCCTCACAGTTCTTTAATGTTGAGAAACTAGTCATCTTGATTACAGAAGCTCCCAGCATTAGATTTTATTCTTTGTATTCCTTTCACATTAGTCTTTCAAAAACCAGTCTTGTGTACATAGTTCTTTCTAATTCTGAATTCAGTTCAACTAATCATTAATGGTAGGGACTATTAGATGATTCCCAGAGTTCATTAATCCACTGATTCTTGATTAGAAAAACAAGCACTGGCAATCTGTTTAGCTAAGAAAACCTCCTTTCCCAGGTTCTTTTTCCAGCTACAGTCAGTGTTTGTGATCAAGCTCGGACCAATAGTATGTAAGCAACAGTTGTCTTGTGAATGGTCTGTTCAAAACTAATGAGGAATTGCTTCATCTTTTCCTTTCTTCCCAGCCCTGGAATGCGTGGGAGCTCCCATAAGAGCCTTGAATCAGAGATAAACTTGGGGGTGGAAGCTCTGAGGATGCTAAACCTGGAAGATAGGAAGAGTATGTCCCTGTGATTCCCTGGAGCTGTCACACTAACCCTGGGCTGTCCAATTAGGCACTGCTTATATTTACATAGAGAAATAAACATTTGTATGGTCAAACCATTATCCTAAGGGGATATTAGTTCAGACAATGGCAAGCCTGGTCTGTTGCCAACTGTGCACATTTCCACAGGAGGCTGCCTGAAGTTTTCAACTTGATGTTTACAATAGAAATTCCATCTGCTTCTAAGGCTATTGTTACAGCTTTTCCTTGTCCAGAAACATTTCTTTAATCAAGTTAATGCTCTCCAAATGTGCTAAGTATTCTCCTGGTTCCCAAATTTACCACAGTTTCCCAGGTGCTGTGATTTCAATTATCCCAGAGCATCTTGCAAATGCCTTTCACTGGGACTTAGCTGAAAACTAGAGTAATGGACTTTTCAAGATGGAAGGGAATTAAAATTTTCTGTTAACCTAAATTTCCGTACAATGAAATAAAACACTTTCTGTCCTTGATACTTGCATTGGGTACTTATCCTATTGCTGTGGGGCGGGGGGAAATACCCTGACAAAAGCAAATTAAGGGAGAAAAGGTTTACACAGTTCAAGATTACAGTCTTCATAGCAGGGAAGTCATAGCAGCAGGAGCTTGAGACGGACGGTCACATTGCAGTCAACCAAGAAGCAGAAAGTGGTAGATGCTAGAGCAGAGCCTACTTTCTGCATTTATACAGTTCACAGTCCCAGCCTAGGGAATGGTGCTGCCCACATATATGGTGAATCTCCCCATCTCGATTCATCTAATGGAGAAAATCCTTCATAGTCATGCACAGCAACCAACTTAGATAGTCCCTCACAGATATGTCTGTAGGGTTGTCTCCTGGATGATTCTAGATCTTATCAAGTTGATAATCAGTATTAACCATCATAATACTCAAGCACAATTAGCAACCAACTGTTGTAGAATATTATTTTAAGATGTCTTATGTTTGCTTATGCTATGAAACATTTGTTTAATGATGCAAAGATATATTGCATTCTTTTATGTTGCATTTGTTTAACTCTGTGAAGCTGTGTTACTGTGCGTGTCTAAAACACCTGATTTGTCTAATAAAGAACTGAATGGCCACTATCAGGGCAGGAGAAAGGATAGGTGGGACTGGCAGGCAGAGAGAATAAATAGGAGGAGAAATTTGGGAAGATAGAGATCAGGATACAAAAGGAGAAGGAAAGGACTCCAGGAGCCAGATGCCCAGCTACACAGCCAGACACAGAATAAGAAGGAAAGAAAAGACATACAGAAATAGAGAATGGTAAAAAGCCCATAGGCAAAAGATAGAGGGGATAATTTAAGTTTAAAAAAGCTGGCAAGAAACAAGCCAAGCAAAGGCTGGGCATTCATAAGGAAGAACAAGACTCTCTGTGATTTATTTGGGAGTTGAGTGGCAGGCTCCCAAAAAGCAAAAGAGTAAAAAAAAAATGCCAACAACAACCAACAGCATTTTTACAAGATCCCAGGTAATTCAAAGCATCTTGAAGTTTGAGGGGTGCTCCAATCAAATGCTTGTCAAAAGTTGTGTGGGTTGTTCACAAAACACCCTAAACAGTTCTCCTACAGATAGAATAATCAGCAAGTTATTCCGTTAATAAGATAAAAATTTCTTTCCTTTTACCAAGGATTTCTCTGCCTCTAGTCTGTAGAATAATTACAAATAGTACTGACTGATGGAATTTTGATTGAGAATATCCTCCTGGAACTTGGTCAGCAATGTTTACAGTGCAGCAATGGTTACAGGTGATCATGTCATTAGAGTTTCCACTCTATATACAATTAATCTACTGGTGGGTTCATGGCTCAATGGATTAGTAAAAGGTGGAGCAAACTGTAAGATGTGAGACTGAGTTAGAGGAAGTAAGTCCTGGGAGTGTGCCTGGAAGGGCCTATTTTGTTCCCTGCTCTACTGTTCTTCCTCCATGCTACAAGGTGAGCAGTTTTCCTCTTGCTGAGTGTCATTGGCCACAAGGTATTGCCTCAGTGTAGAACCAGCAGCAAGGGAGCCTAATGATTGAATACTCTCAGCCATGAGTCCAAATAATTCTTCTGTCTTTTAAGTTGTTTTGCTCAAGGTTTTTGTCATAGTGATGAAAAGCTGACTAACACAGTGATTCACCCTAATTATTTGAAGGTGCCTATCCTGGTTCTCAGCCTTCTCTTTTCAAAGGAAAATGACTCACTTAATTGGCATTCTTCACATACTCTGATTTTCAGAGATTTCATCTTCTTTTAACTCATACTAAATTGTTAGTATCCTAATTAGAATACAAATTTGCAATTTAATATATTTACTGAGTGAACAACACTAGATTCCCCAACATAGCAGATTCTAACTTCTCTCATATACAACACATTACATTTAAACGTTGATCCATCGCTGTAGTTCTGATGCTATTCTCATCATTAACATCATTTTATATAAATATTGAAAATCCATTTTAAAACCATTTAAGTTACATCAAAACCACTTAGTAACAAAAATCACAACCTGTTTTGTTGATATATTTGCTTTTGCTTTATTTGAGGAATTGAGGTTTCACTATGTTAACCAGGCTGACCTCAACATCCTGAGCTCAAGTGATCCTTCAGTCTCAGCTTGCTGAGGGGATTGGTTAGAGTACATTCCATTGCACCCAGTTTCCTGTACTTCAAAGAAACCTTTTAGTGATTTTCATACATGAGTATTGTATTTACATAATTTCCTCCTCTTCTTCTTCTCCCAACTCTTCTGTCCCCCACGCCTTTTCAAATTCATGACTTCTTTAATTATTATTCCTTTACGTGCATGCGCGCGCGCAGCCACACACACACACACACACACACACACACACACACACACACACGTGCATGCACAACCTACTGAGTCCATTTAATGTTACCCATACATCCATGTGCTTAGGAGTGACTACTTGGGATGATATAACTATCAGAGGGCTTGTTTCTGTAGAAGACTGATTCTCCTTCCTCTCTCTTTTGGCAGCCATTAAATGCCTCTAACTCTTCATCTGGGGTGGGTCCTCATGAGATATCATGTTCGCATGCCATTGTTGTCATTGTGCATGTCATGTTAGGTGGCCATACTGTTGAGAGTTCGTGAGTGTAACTTCCCTGTCACATGGAGAAGCCACTACCTTGCAGCAGACATCCTGGTCCTCTAGTTCTTGCAGTCTTTCTGCCCCTCTCTTCCACAATGATGCCTGAGCCTGGCCTTACAGTGGTGTTGTGGATGCACCCATTGGGGTTGAGCACTACACAGTCAGTTGTTATCTGCATTTGGACCAGTTGTGGATTTCTGCAATTCCACCTGTTGCAAAAAGAAGCTTCTCCGTTGACGGGTGAGAGCTTCACTTATCTGTGAGTATAAGACTAAGTACTTGCTGGGCGGTGGTGGCGCACACCTTTAATCCCAGCACTCGGGAGGCAGAGGCAGGCAGATCTCTGTGAGTTCAAGGCCAGCCTGGTCTACAGAGCGAGATCTAGGACAGGCACCAAAACTGCACAGAGAAACCCTGTCTCAAAAAAAAACAACAAAAAAAGTACTTATAATGCAGTTGGAAATTATACTCATTTAGGTTCTCCTCCAGGGTCTAATATCTTAACAGCCAGGGGCTTGCAAAAGCCATAGGAAACATTTTATGTTTACTTAATAATACATATATAATATACATTAGTATATGCAGATACATATACATAGAGTTTAAACTACATTGTGCTACTTGGGGTGATGATACTCCCTCCAAGAGCCATGGAGTAGCTAACAAAATCCCAGTGCCAAGCATGGGAAACATCCCTTGGAGATTTTGATCAGAGAAATCCAAGGGACTTCCAAAATAATACAGGCTATTTCCAGTGCCCTTGTCTCCAGAACTTGAAAGTAAGGTCCTATTCCTGAAGATTCCACACCCTTCAGACAGGACTTGGTGTTGATTTGGAATTGACCTGGAAGCCTCCTCCCTGAAGACCAGTGGATACAGTCAAAGGTGCTATACAAGCTGCCAAGATAAAAAAGCAATCAATGGTTCTTCCTGCCTGTAAAACTAAGAACTACAATGAAAACTGGCACAGTAAGATATGTACAATGGTACAGCAGCGGCACCTCCATCTTGGGATTAACCACCGGCTGTCTATTAAACTTAAGGTGCCTCGGCAGGAGGGACTTCACACCTAGTACTATAAAACTAACCAACTACCTGTTTAGTTTAAGGTGTGTTGCATTCATTTATACTGTGAAATATTCGTTTAATGATGCAAAGATGTGTTGCATTCTTTTTTGTTGCATTTGTTTAACTCTGTAAAGCTGTATAACTATGCCTGTCTAAAACACCTGACTGGTCTAATAAAGAGCTGAATGTCCAATGGCTGGAGGGAGAGAGGGATAGGCAGGGCTGCCAAGCAGAATAGGAGGAGATATCCAGGCTTAAGAGAAGAGGGAGGAGTGAAAAAAGGAGGAGAAGAGAATGCCAGGGGCCAGCCACACAGCCACACAGCCACACAGCCACACAGCCACACAGCCACACAGCTGGTCATGTAGTAAGGAGGAAAGAGAGATATATAGAATGAAGAAAGGTTAAAAAGCCCAGAGGCAAAATGTAGTTAAAGAGAAACAGGATAATTTAAGTTAGAAGCTAAGCTAAGGCTGGGCATTCGTAAGTAAGACTAAGTCTCCATTTAGGACCTGGTGGTGGGTCCCCAAAGAGTAAAAAACAAAACAGCTATACTACCTATGGGTTGTGCATTTGTTTTAATCATGAAAACTATGTCTGAGCCATGTCTTAACTTTTCTGGAAAGAATACTGCTACCACTGAAAAATAAAAGTGCTCCAGCAGATGCCCTGAGTTCACTCCATTGTAAGTCTCAGATTCTGCTTGCCTGTAGGAAGCTTTCTTCTGGCTCAAGTGACACCATCTCAAAGCCCTACACCCGTGGCCATTGTGTTTGCTCACAGCATGCATGCGAGTGCTTCTCTTCCTCTGTCTCCTCCTGGCAGCAGGGACTCATGTGTCCACGACACCCAGCACAATGAAGAACTTACACTAGGCACTAAACAAATATTTTTACATGAATAAGGCCGAGGTTACTCCTTTGGACAGAGGACAGAACTCGATTGGATTTTATTGGAATGAGTTGAGTGAGAAAAGCCAGTAAAGTACCCATGTTCTTCTTGCTATCTTTAGGTGAAATGTAGAACTCCCATTGGGATTGTCCCAACAAAAGGAGTTGACCTAGTTTAACAGAGTATAAATATAGTGTGTCCCCAAAGGTCTCCAAACACAGGATTCACCAAAGTGTATCTTCAGAACTTCAAGTGGTACGACTAACACAGACTGACCCACTTAACATGAGCCTTCTCACACAAAGTGGATTTGAAACCAGTACCGTCCCTCAGAGTTCCTGCGGCCTACTGTCCAGTAAGAGTCCTCTTTTTCTATGAATGGCCTTTGAAGAGTTTGTGTTCAACAAAAACTCAAGCGCAAAAGACTCTCAACAACAACAAATGCCCTAAAATTGATGGTGTACTTTCAGAGGAAGCTGAGGTAAATACAGAAATGGAGACCATCCAGTGTTAGCCTTTCCCATTGGTGTGTATTTTCAGTTTTTATAACCCTCATTCAAAACACGCTATCTTCTAACTATTTTATCTGAGGGTAGCTAGCTGCCAGTGGAAGGGCATTATCACTGTTTATGATCTCGCAGAGTGCCTGTAAACGTTGGTACCTCAGCAAAATTATCGTCCTGATTATATAGCTTTAGCAGAGGGGATAGTTTGTTAAAATAGACAAGGGCAAATCAGCAGCAATATCTTGCCCCAATTAAAACATGAGTGAGATGAAAACAGCAGCTATTCAGGATGCCTCCTTATCTAGGGAAAGTTCACAGTACCCTCATCCTTTCTATAGGTGGTACCCAACTGAGACAAGCTCTGCTTTAGTGACTAACAGGGATGCCGTGCTTTACAATGCTTCCTTTTCTGTGCACCCCGGTGGTTGTGCTGATGTCCCCAAACTACCTAAAGCCATCTCCCAGTGGAAAGGGTTCCAGCCTTGGCGGGTCCAAACGACGGTTTGGCAGAAGGACTAGAGTATATGTATGGTGTGAATGCTCTGTGCGGGGCTGAGAAACAGGGTTCATGTTTTATTTTCCACTGTGAGGCTATAAAAGTAAGTGAAAAGAAAATGCAGCTTCCTGTCTGTGGAAGAGCTGGGTTGCTTCCAGTCCTTTGCTGTTGCTAACAATGCAGAGATAGAGACTCATATACATCATTTTGCGTGTGTTTTAATATCACTCCAGAATGCATTTGTAGAAATAGAAGAGCAGGGGCAAAGGCTGTACGCCTTTGTAATTTTAATACATATTACCAGATTGCCTTCCTCAGGGACTGCAACAATTAATATTTCCACTAGCAATGTATAAAAGTGACTATTCAGGAAAAAGAGTCACCATCAGATTACAATGTACTCTGAGATTCTGGAGGTATCAGTACACTGTTTTAATGCTTTTATTGGCATGTATTAATTGTATATAATAATGGGTTTCATTATGGCATTTTCATGCATGTAATTTGATTGTCTTCACTCCCAGTCCTGCTCCTGATCTGTTACCAGTGTTGTTGATCAGTTGATCATTCCTCTTCCCAGCTGCCCTCCCTTCCACGTTCAGTGCACCCCAAGTCCCCATGGGTTGTTTGCTGCGATGTTAGTGACAGTTTGTTTACAGGAGCATGTACACCTTGTCAGGGACACCACTGAAAATATGTCCTTCCCTCCTTCATCAACTGTATCAGCGTAGTTTAAAGCTTTCCTTCCACAGTTTCAATTTTTTTTTGAATTTTTAAAAATATTCTTTGTTTTCTTTAGGGAAATAAGCTCCTTTTCTGGATACTCATTGCAAGGATTTAAATTTAATTTAACTTTTATAACATTTTTCTTTGTTGAATAGTATGTCCTCACGCTCAAGTCCTCCTGTGAGTTTTGTGTACTCAAGCGTAACAATTTAAAAATTTTTTAAATTCGGAGTTATATTTAGAAACGTTTCTTCCCATCCAAGCTTGTAATGGAATCTTTCCATATTTTCTTTCTGTGTTTTTGTGGGTTTATGTTTTATGTTTAAGCTTTGATCCATTTGGAATTTATCCCGGTTTGAGGCCTGGGGAGAAGATCTGCTTGATCTAATGAATTTTATTTAATAACTCATCTTTCCCCTCTGGTTTGAGGCAGTGCTGTTGATATAGCTCTTTCATTCTCTTCCTGAATGTTCTATTTTTTTTTTCTAGGAATTTGATGACCTCTTCATGCATACAGCCACACTCTTTTCATTGTTAAGACTTAGAAATCAAATGTCCACTTACTTCCCTTGCTCTTTGCTTCAGAATTTTGCTAAATATTGTTAATTCATGTATCATTCTCAAAAATCATCTTTTGGGGGCTGGAGAGTTGGCTCGGTGGTTAAGAGCACTGACTGCTCTTCCACATCACAGTTCATCATCAAAGGAAGTCAGGAGAGGAACTCAAACAGGGTAGGAGCCTGGAGGCAGGTGCTGGTGCAGAGTTCTGCTTACTGGCTTGTTCACTAATGGCTTGCTCAGTCTGCTTTCTTATAGAACCCAAGACCACCAGCCCAGGGGTGCCACTACCCACAATGGGCTGGGCCCTCCCCCACTAACCACTAATTAATTAAGAAAATGCCCTACAGGCTTGTCTGATCTTATGAAGGCATTTTCTTAATTGAGGTTCCCTCCTCTCAGATGACTTTATTTTGTGTCAAATTGACATAAAACTAGCCAGCGCAGACCCTACTTCCCAACCATGATCCTTGCTCCTAGGGAAGCAAGGATTAGGTTTTATGGTTTTTTGTTTTTTTTTTTGTTTTTTTGTATGACAGGAATTGGATTCCTTTAGCTGTGGGCTTCTATTATCTTCTGGGATGTGTCGGTGGGCCTTCTTTACCCAATTCCATCCTTATATTTCAGCCATTTATGGATGTGCAGTAGAAGAAATCTCCTTCCAAACCCTTGTCCATTGGAAACATGGCAGACCAGGGAGCTGTTTTTCAGTTCTGATTATTCTTGCTGTTGAAGTATCAACAAGCATGCCCACAGATTCTCTTCTCTTCTCCTTAAAGCTATGAATATAATTAAATATATCAGAGAACTTCCTATAAGGGAACTTGTTTCGTTCATTTACTAAATCCACCTGGTCATATTTCATTATTCATGCCAGCATCTACTTGCAAATATTTTGCTTAGGAATTAGGAAATTTCATCATTTTTCAACACAGTTATCTTAAGAATAACTTGGTAGTAAATATTGAGGTTCATAAGCACATTTAAAAGATTTATTGTTCTTACTGTTCTTTGAAACAGTTTAAATAATATTGGAATTACATGTCTCTCAAAGTTTTGATACTATTCACCCATAAAATTTGTGAGACTTAGTCCTTTTTTTATTGATGTCTTTTCAAAGAAAAGTGATTCCTTTAGATAATTTTAATTTCAGGATCAGTACTGATAAATCATAGATCCCCACAATAATTTCTTTTCACTGGATATATCAAAGCCACATAAAATTAAACAGATCATTTTCATCGGAGTATTTGGTATTTCTTCATTGCAATTGGCACTCACTTTTTGTTTCTGTTTTTGCATCCTCCCATCTTCACTAATTGAACTGAATTATAGTGAATCAGTTGTTTTGATCTTGTTTTCAATGTGTTAATTTTTAAAATTTATTAGTTTGTTTTTCTGTGGTGGTGTTTCCTACATCGTTAACTCTGCTTAAAACCCACATTTCTCTTAAAATTGTACTCTTCTGCTTGCCTTAATTTGTGTTGTGGCATTTGAATGATCTGTTTGGATTCATGTTTTATTTTCATGTCTAATTACCTAATCTATAGTTTCTATTTATATTATAGGAGTAGTATTTTCCATTGTTTCCTGGATTTTAAATTTTGATTTCCGTGAAGACATTTCCCCGCTTACTCTGTTGTGAAGTCCATGTTTGTGTTCATTCTATTGCCTTTGTGTGTCTTTTCTTGGTTCTTGTATCTCAGGCTTGGAGGGGAAAGGGTGTCACAATAGTTCTTTTTAAAAAGTAACTTTTCTGGTAGGCAGTGCCTTTGATCCTAGCAATCGGTGGCGTTGTGGGGGGTGCAGCAGGCAGCATCAGTCAAATTCAAGAACAGCCTGGTCTATGGAGTGAGTTCCAGGACAGCCAGGGCTACACAGAGAAACTGTCCCTCAATGCCCCCACAAAATAATAATTTTTCTATTTTTTGAGATTATAGTTACATCAATTTTTTCTTAATTGTTGTTAAGTATACAACATGTGTGTATAACTATTCACACCTATAAATATGTATGTCGATCACACCCTGCTGTGTGTATATGTTTTCAGGGCTGACCAGTTGCTGTGATCTTCTTTGGGGAAGACTATTTCTTCACTCTCGCTCTCCTTAGTGGCCTATAGTTCTTCGTCTACAGTTGAGGCTTCATGACCTCTGCTGCTTCCATGTTCTCGGGTCGACGATTTTTGTCTTTTTATAGACTTTGTTTAGGCAGCCATGTTGGTGAGACCTCATGGGTGTAGCATCTCTGACATTTCTAGGAGACACACTCTCACAGCATCTTCTTGTCCCTCTGGATCTTGCAATTGTTCAGCCTCCTCTCCTGAAATGCTTCCTGAGTCTTAGGTGCTGGGCTTGTAGATGTATCAGTTGGGACTCTGCTCCCCAACTCTGCGTTTTGATCCACTGTGGTTTTCTGTAATGGTCTGTAGCTGTTGCAAAAACAGGTCTCCTTGCTGAGGACTGAGAAGTGCACTTACCTGTGGGTACGAGGATGAATATTTAGAATGAAGCTGGGGATTATACTGCTTCAGTAAAATGGCCATTGTAGTTTCTTCTTCAAGACCCATGACTTCACTCGCCCTGGGTAGTTGGCTAGGTTTCCAGTACCAAGCATAACTTCCCTCTTGTTGAGTGAGCACAATAATTCTTTTTAATTAGTTTACTGTTTTTAATTCATGGACACATTCTTTCTCTTAAAAGTTAATATTGATATATGTCAATCTGCATGTATGATATGTGTGTGTGTGAGTGAATGTGGGCATATGTGCCCTGGTACACAAGTAAAAATCAGAGGGCAACTTTTATGAATCAAATCAGTTCTTTCCTTCCACCATGGGATCTGGGAACTGTATTCAGGTTGTCAGGTTTGTGTGACAGGTACTTTTAATTGTTGCTAAGGCAACTTGCTGGCCCAAGGACCCCATTCTTCACTTCTCTGTCTCAGTGTCTTCTATTATCCTTCTCTGCACATAAGCTGTATTTCTGCTGTGGTTTACGTGATGTCTCTCAAATTTAATTTTTAAATAGCATGAGGCAAAGGTCTGATTTCTTTCTATATTGTTTTTTTCTTTGGCATACGTTTTTCCTTACAAAACAGTACATTTGTTAACAAGACTTCCTTTCCCTCCGCTGAGTTGCCTTAGACCTGCCATCAAAAGCTGTCATGCATCTGCATCTGTAAGTCTCTTTCTGGACTCTGCAGTTCCCCACTGTCTTCTGCACCTCCCGCAGTATCTTGATGATGACTGGGTCCTTACACCAAATACTACCATGTCCCAACATTTTTCCTTATTTTGAGATAAATGTGGCTCTCTGTGGTTCCTTGCATCTATGAATTAATTTTAGAATCTGAATTCCACACACAAAATAATCCTATTGGGGTTTTTAATCAGCCTATGCTCCATCTACAAAGCCCCCCAGGGAGATCACTGGAGTCTTCCAGTCCTTCCGTGTGGCATGCCCCTCCATTCATAAGAAGGATTTGTGATTTTTATTGGTAATATGTAATTTCTCCCTTCCGTTTTTTATCAAAGTATCATTCTTTCAATGCCTTTGCTGTCTTTTACTTCTTTTTAAAAATGTTTTTAAAAGTACTTCTTGTCTGGACACTTGTGTGCAGATGCATCCGGAGGTCAGAAGAGGCCATCAGATGCTCTGGAACTAGGGTTACAGATGGTTGTGAGCCATCATGTTGGTGCTAGGAACCATGTCGTGTAAGTGCTTGTAACTGCTGAGCCATCTCTCCAACTCCCCACTTTTTTGAGAGAGGAAGAGTTTATTTAGGCTTACAATTTGGGGGGCAGTCCATGTTGGCAGGGGGTGCACGGCAGCAGGAGCATAAGGTGTCTGGTCACATTGGGACTACTGGAAGGTAGCAGTGACATCTTTGTTCTTACACACACTGGAGTGACTCTACTTCTCCTGGGCCTGTTTCTGTTGCTGTTGTTTCATTTTGTATTTTTCCCCATGACTCCTCGCTTTTTAATCTTTTACTAGTACCTACAGGCTTCTTCCCTTTATCTCTGATGGATTATCAGGTATATTTTTTCTTTGATTTTAGTATGAAAAATATTTGTGATAGATAAGGCTGGGAATTTTGTTAGTAATGAAACCAGAACTATAACCCAGGTCTCCTCAGGGCCAAGTGTCTCAGTTACTGAAAGGAGCAAATATTAGAATAATTGGTGGGAATCTCTACCTCCTTCATATATATAATATAATGTAATATATCCCATTCTTTGCTAGCACTGTTTCAGAGTAACCTCACTTATATTGGCTTTGAAGTCTTTTGAAACAAGAAGCTAAGGATAGAACCCATTAAAAATCACCCAACAAACTTCATCATTAACTCTAGAAGAAATCACGCTTTCTGTTGGGAAAGACCCTGTTCAGAGAGCAGTTTCTGCTTTGCTGTTTTCTCTTTTTCTTTCCTCTTTCCCTGATCTCCTGCTGCCTTTCTAATGGATTCAGGTCACACCAAGGCCCTGAACAATGAATGCTTACAAAGAGCAGTTGCAAGCCTTGACTGAGGAGATAAGACAAACCGGGAGACACTGAGTAAGAGCAGGGCCTGAGGAAGGCAGACTCGGGGCTCTTAGAAGCTGGATGTTAAAAGAAACGCAGAGATCCAGAAACAAGACAAGGGCAGAGTCGATGTAAACCCTAGGCTAGGAAGGAAGTCAAGAATCTAGCCTAGTAGTTACAGTTCCAACTCCAATGCCCTGTGAGTAAGAGCTTGGAACAGAGGTGGTTCTGAATTTCAAAGAAAATCTGGGCTGGTATGTACGGGTGCAGGGCTACCATTTGACACAACTCTTAGGAACATCCGTATATATTGATGAATTCATTCATTCATTGATCCTATTGTCAGTTAGTAGGTTAGTAATATTAGGAAGCTGACCTGAGTCTTTAAAATGTTAAAGGTGAAAGACAGAGTGAAGATGTCTATTAGCGACTCTTGCTATGGAACATGCTAGGTGAACAGCGTTGAAACATACACTAAGCTTTTGTCCCCCGGGAGCAGTGTCATGTTAGTGGCCATCAAAGCAGTGAGCTGACAGGCTTAACTTTCCCGGAGAGATGTTATAAAAGGGGCGATTTGGGAAATGAGTGGGCTCCCTGGCCCCCATCAGTGTTCAATGTGCTACCCTGGAGCCAAAGCACCAGCCATGGTAATTGCAGCATTTGTTTGGGGTGGGGGGTGCATTCCCAGGCTGCAGAGCCTCATTTCAGTCCACATGCCTCTAATTTGATGTTTTTAAATTCAGCTCCAAGACTGTCGTCAGCCATTTGTCCCCCTCTTTCCTTTAACACTGACCACCTTGTCCCCTTTTCTCCTGTGAACAGAGGCAAGCAGTGTGCATTGAAAGCCAACAGCTTTTGTGTTGCTTGGGAAATCTGAGGCTGACATCTCCGGGCCCTTTCTGCCTCTCCCGCCTCTCTCTGCCCGTGACCTGCCAAGTGGGTCTGACTCTCCCAGGCTTTCGTCATGTTGTATATCGATTGCTCTCCTTTCGTTTATTTGTAAGATGCTGAAGGACAGACCCTGCTGCACAGGGACAGTGGCTTTGGCAATGAGTAGGTCAGCCAGTGTCCCTAGGCACACAGGTCCAGTGATACTTCACCGGGTTGGCTGGTGTGACATCAGTAGCTCCTAAAGGGACCAATTGATTCCCCCATTTACCCCCTGCACCCCACCCCACCCCCAAGATCGCTATTCTAAACTCTCAAATTCTTTTTCTGGGATTTCATTCTGCCTTTTTGAATGCTCTTTTTTTTTTCTGCTTCTTTTCTTTCTTAGACCTTGTGATCCTTAGGTACTGGGTTTACTAATTACCCCCAATGCTGGCACCTGACAGCAGGTGGCCACCATTCTGTTAATTATGTCCCGGGGCTTAGAGAGTCTCTTCTAATGACATCTAATCATCTACCTCTGACTCTTGGGCTGAAAGCAGGTTGCAGGCACAATCTCTTTCCCTGAGCTCTTCAAATCTATTCTTCTGGCCTAGCACCATGCCTGCAAGGTAGATGATAGAATTGCCAAGCACTAGGTTCCTTCGATGGTGGCTGGGGAGTCACAGCTCAAATGCAGGAAACTGATCAGCACAGTGCCGGTTTACTAGTCAAATAAGCCAACTTGAGGAAGGGGAGGTCTGAGACCTGCGGTAGATTAAGACTCTTCTCTGTCTGTCTCCCTCAATTCCCAGAGCCCCATTGTATACTGTCCTTTAGCCCAAACTGAGATGGTAGCTTCCCACAGTCGACTGTAGAAAGCAGAAGGAGATGCGGTTAATTCTTTCATAGGGGAGTAAGAAAGACTGCACTATAACATGTGAGAGCCCTGGGCTGCCAGAGAAATCAGTGTAAATCCTTGTAGTATTCATTTGGTGAGCGAACAGGCTTCTGCCTTTCATCCATAAAACAGGGGAAATATCCCTTTTGTGCTTTTTTGAAGTGCAGCCAAGAGAATTAATTGTGCATTATTTCCAGAAGGTTTGGTATTCCATGGAGGCAGGTAGTGTGTGCATATATGTGTGCAGACAAAGGTAGACAGATATAGTGATAATCCTTCACTGGCTGCTTCCAGACACCGATGCTGAAAGAAATGAATTATGGGTAAGGAGAACTGTCGAGCAGAGAGTTTTGGTCAATTTGTAGGTACTTTAAAGCAATTGTGATGGATGTGGGAAGAGAGATCGATGGAGAAATATCAATAGGGATTTCGCCGTAAGGACGCCATGGCCACCAGTCTCACTACCCAAATGACTGTAACCTGAGCAAATTAAAAGGGGAAGTACAGTCCTCGCCTATAACAGCAAAAATAAAACATGCACTTACTCTCACAACTGGTAAGATCAGTCTCAGAGGCCAAGGATAGATGAAATTGTTTTTGGTGAAAGTCAGAGGTATCTTACTTGGCTGACAATTATGATCATAAGTTTTGGTATATCATTGCAATTGAGCCTCAGATACTCCTGTATGATAGACAACCAGGGTAAGTTCTCCTTTGCTATGAGAGGTAGTACTTGGGGCCCCACAGTGTACAATGTCTACAAGTGTACAGGTGTAATCCTGGCTTATTCTTCCTGAAGGAGATTATGTCTGGCCGCCCCACAGTTTCTCTGCAGATTTCGTGGAGACCTCAGCTATGTTGCTCTAGCCTGTCTGCACCCTTCAGGGAACCCTCTTTTCACTGGTCCCTCCTCAATAGTTTGACACTTGCATGCCTGCTCTCTGTGAGTAAGGCTTTACCCTCAAGTCAGCATACTTTCCAGGCCTTTCTTGAACGATAACATATCATATGGTCCTGGCAGGTCTCCAAGAGTCTCCAACTGATGTCACCTAGAGTTTTTTGTCATTGCCCAGTCAAAGGGAAGCTCACAGACAGAAGGTGAGAAGAAGAAAGTCACCCAGGAGCTGCCTAAACAAATGGACACTGAAATTCCAGGTGTCTGTGCAGCCTGCCCCAGTTTAGGATAATTCAAACTTTCTTGCTGAGTTCACTGGTTATTTGTTGACCATTCAGTCTAATGTCGATGCAACAACTCTCCAGGGGGACTTGTAATTTGTACTTGATTTTTGCTGGATCTTCTTTTTCATCCTTCCCTCCTCTAATTATTGCATTCTCTGCACTCGCTCTCTATCTCAAGTTGTTTGTAACCTTCTCAATCAATTGCTTTCTCGAATCTTACTTCCAGTATGTCTAGGGGCTTGGCTCTCCCCTAAGTCAGGGAGTGATGGTAAGGATGCTGGGAAATGTGCGATGGATGAATGGCTCACTTTGTGGCCACTGTTCTCGATCTCGTTGTTTGGATTTTTTGACCTAGGGAAAAACAAACAGTGCCTTAGGTCCTTCCTCTCCCTGCCACTGCCCTTGTGATTTTCCCTGGCTATTTGGGAGCCCAGCAAGGGTAGCAGTGGTAAGGAAGGATTCATTACTCTTCCTTGATGTGTGTGAATACATTACGTCATTTCAATGGGATCTAGACTTCAATGACAGACTCTCCCTGCTGGCTTGGCTGTGTTCTCTGCTCCACAGACAACAAAAGATGACAGGTTGTAAGTTCCCACGTCAGAAGAGAGCAACTGGCTTCTGTTGGCAACCTTAGTTGTCAACTGGCAGCCCCAAGAAACAGGCTCTCTGGGTCATGTAAGGACAGGCAGGGGCTGACAAGTTTGAAAGGAGAAGAAGAAGCAAGGAGAGGGTTGACGTCAACTCCACAGCCCAACAGTGTCCACCCCCACCCCAGCCCTCACTCCAGCCCCCACCCCCTTTCTTTGCAGAGCTCATGCCTGATCACTCATCACAGCCTGGCACTAGGGTGGGATTATAAGAGTTAGAGTAAGCATCTCCTGACTCTGCCCCAAGACAACTACCTGGGAATGGCCACTAGTCACCTAGTCAGTAATCAACTCTCTTTCCTCTCCGCCAGACCCAGCCAGCTTGATGTCCTCTGTACTAATAACCAATAAAAATACAGCCTACTTCATTTAATTTATTTTCAATGCAAGGCTTATTTAAAATTCAGCATAGCAAATCCAGTGAGGAGTTAGGTCCTACGTAGTGACTAGTTTTAGTAGGTCCTTCCAGGACGCCTTTTGTTGAGGAATAGTTTCAGATTTGCAGAAGAGTTGCAACAGTGGAATAGAATTTCCAAACAGCAGTCACCTAGCTTCCAGGCCAGTTCTACTATCTGACTGATTTTGACCAATGCTTTAAATAAGGGAAAGCCAAGCTTGTGGAGCAAATTAGAACTGTCTAATGTGGGGTCTCCTCTTAACTCCCACCCAGTGTCACAGTGCCTTCCTGCTTCTGGGATTCCCAGACTAGTGTGGGAGGGAATTAAGCAGATCCAGTGCCATATTCTAGGTGCCAGTCACAAGTTTCCCTATGGACAGCCTAGCTAGCCTGTGGATTTGGGCCATTCTACGCCCAATCTTCCCCAGAATCTACACTGGGGGAAGTGGCCCCTTTGTGCCTGTGTAGGGACACATGAGAATTATGCACGTACCTCATGACTTAGGCTGTAAGCCATACCCTTTGTTGATCCTTTTCAGAACCTCTCAGAGGCTCTATCCAGCTCCTTTTGTTTCTCAACATGGATTTCTGAAGCTGTCTGGGGACTTGGATCTTAAGCTGTTTTCCCCTAGGCTATGTCTTCTGCACCATCAAACCAGACCTCACCAGTATTCACTACTTACTCGAGACAAGGCCTATTGATATCGTAACCTTCAGATTTTGTGTTCTAGGTCCTGAACTAAACTTTTTCATAATCTCTGCTCCTCCCTAAATGAGGTCTAGTCCCATGTCCAGGCCCTTCCACCCTTCTCTATTCTGCAAGCACCAACAAGCTATTCTTAACATGTCAAGCATTAAGATAATATTCAACTTTTATGTGAACATATTTGTATAGACATTTACTGCTGGCTGCTTCCTAGCTCCACTATTGAGGGCCATAGAGATAAACAATAAACTCTGCTTTAAAGAGCTCACAGTCAGTAGAAGAAGCAGTAAGAAAAGGGAGGGTTGCTGGGTGTTGAGAAAAGGTGCTAGAAGGACAGGAGAATGCGGTCAGGAAAACATTATCCTTTCATCTCTCTAGAAAAGGGCACAGGGGAAGCAAAGTAGATTTAAGTTCAACTAGCAATGCCAAGTTGGACATGTTATGTCTGAAGTAACTGCAGGAAGACTCAGAGGAAGAAGCCCAGAGATTGTGTTGGGATATATAGACTGAACTTGAGGCACTGACAAAATACAGACACAAATAGAATCCTAAGGCCTCCAGGAGATCATGAGGAAAACCCCTATAGTGGTGGAAGGGTCAACATGGAGTAATTCCCAAAGATGTCTCTCCTCCTGGGAGAATGGGAGGCATGAGAAAGAGGCGTATTTTCATCCTCTCCTGCCCTCGTCTCGGCTGTTTTCCTAGAGTGTAATCTGCTGATGTGAGGGCCACTGGGTTGCTCTTTGCTACTGCCTGTAAAAGAGCAAGAAAGCCACACATGGTGGCCTTTACAATCAAGGCACGGGGATAGTCATTCTTCTGCAGGCTGTGCGGGGTGGTGACAAAGTAAAAAAAAAAAAAAAAAAAAGCAGAGGGATCTAGACATCTAGACACATTCACAGTCCTTGAGTGGATTTCACCCTGCCCCTCTGTGAGGCAGGGATATGCTGTAGGATATTTCCCATCCTACAGCAGCTGGTCAAAGCACTCTGGGCTCCTCTGGAAGAGGTTCCCCAGGAGATCACCAGGGCAGGACAAGTGGGTGACAGCTGTTCAATGTTCTTGTTTCCCAAGAACTTAGGATACAATGAGGACCTTCGAGTAGCCTAATTAGTAAAGGATCTGCTCTGGAGCCTGCGTTTGGGAACTAGAAAAACAAGTACGTGTGATCTATATCCAGCAAGGAAGAAAAAAAAAAAGCATTGAGACAAAAAATGTGTAATTGTAATAAGAATGCCCAGAAACATAAGAGGCTCAGAAAGGCTTCCAAATTATTCATTGTGTTGAATTAACAGAGTGATGACTAAGAAGACTGATTAATGATGAACATTGCTTTCAAACTCCAGAATGTGGAAGAAGCTGTACGCTAACTAAATGGACTGCAGATACTTCTTAGTTCCCTGCTTTAGAGCTGATTGACAGTATGTTGTTGTCCTGAGAAATCTAAGGAAATGGTGTGGGTTGTCTTTGTATCTCCTATCTGCAAACATTTATTGGAAAATTCTTGAGTCTCCAGAAACAGGTCAGATGTCCTCATGGGGCTGATTAGTCACTTAAAGTAGAGGAAATTCTCATAGAGGTTCATTTGTAATGCCAGCTCTCTAGGTAGCTCAGGCTGGCCTCAAACAATCCTCCTGGCCATACTTCCAGTGAGCTGGGATTTCAGGCTTGCTCCACCAAGTCGGGCTCCCAGAGAGGTATTTTCAAGTAACACAGTTGCATTATTGTCTGCAACTGAGGTATCTAAAGACTGTAGGCAAAGAATATCCTTGTCCTACTAACAGAGAAGGTTGGAGCCTTGATAAGTCACCCTGGATCTATGCAACTGGATATCCCAGAACAAGTTCACCTCGGGAGAACATGGAGGAAGAGATCAGGCTGGTGAGGGAGCTCCTGGAGAGTGAAGACAGCAGGGAGAGGACTGGAAGCTAGGGAGGAGCCTGGGGCATTGCTGCGAGGGTGTGAGCTTTTCTGAGCAGCCCAGAAGAGTGCCCACATCATGATTGCTGCGAAACTTTCAGTCTCCTGCCATAACACTAAGGAAAGAAGCGGGGTATGGTGAGCCACCTTTGTAATCCCAGCACTTTGTAGATGAAGGCAAGAACATCAGAAGTTCAAGGTCATCCAAGAGCCGCCTGACCTACCTAGGGGGAAAAGCTCCCTGTGTCATTTGACCTTGTTTTGTTTTATTCAATTGAGAAATTATGTTTGCATATATTTATAAGATCAATGTGGTATTATGATCTTAATACAATATGCAATGATTAAACTGAGCTAATTAATATTTAATCTCTTTAGAATCCCTATAAAGAACTAATATCAACAGGCCTACTTTTCAAAAAGAAGAGCAGAAAATGTACTTGTTATCCATCCAGTCAATACCTACTAAATTCCAACACTTACTATGTGATAAACAAAAGATAGGATCTTTATTTATATAGAACTATCCTGTAGGACAGCCCTGTGATGCAACTCACTCCCTGGGGGAATTACTTTCTTCTCTAATGCCAGACTTAGACGCGTGACTTTCTTTGACCAATCAACTACAAATAGATGTTGCTTATACTACTTGTAGGCAGAGGTTGGGAGAAGCAATGTGTGATTTTTATGAGTGATTTCTTTCCCTTTGCTTCAAGGATGAAGTGGCCTGTGTAGGGGCTTTTGTTCTTCCCTGTATCCTACCTATGTGGAGAAGACTTCAGACTCCCCACAGCCAATGTAATAAATTACAAATAAGAAATAAACCTTTTGTTCTTACAAACCTCTAACCCCTGGAGCAGCATAACCTAGGGAGACCTGACTCACATACTTGTGATTGTGGGTTGTCACAGGGAAGAAAAGAAGATTTTCAGAGAGTCTTTGGGACTTTGTCTAGGATGCTGACATTTTTAATGATCTGTGTGAGGTCATTGTGTATTCGACATTGTAAGTTTCCCTGACCCTGTGTGGACTGCTTTTCCACAATTGGCTGTTCACAAAAGGGTCAGCTTCCAGATGGGTTGATGGCTCTGATGGCGAAGTGTTTGCCTTGGAAGCCTGAGGACCTGAGTTCAACCCCGTGTTAAAATACAAGCAAACAAACAAAAAAATAGGCATGGTGGTATGTACTTGAATTTCCAGTGCTGGTGAGGCAGAGGTGGATGGATCTCCAGGGCCCATGGGCCAGCCAGCCTGTTCTTCTTAGCTAGTTTGAGGCCAGTGAGATTCTGTCTTTAAGAAAAAAGAAGAAAAGGAAAAAATGTCTGAGGGAAAAAACTTGAGGTTTTCTTCTGATTTTCACAGGCATGCAGCACACCTGAACACACATACAAAAATGCACACATAAATGCAAACACACAAAAGACCCCGATTCTGGGAGAACTTCCCAGAACATATAACAGAGTTCCATAACTGGATTTCCACACAGACTCATGGAAATGCCAAACAATTTCTCAAACATTTACATTTGGATTAAGTCCAAGGCATGATTTGCCTCTAGCTCCTTGTTCCCTAATTGGAAATCTGTACGGATCTTCAGGGAAATGGATCCATGTGTTTCTCATTTGGGCATACTTACCTCATCAAAATATGGTTGGAATGAATCCGTTGATGTTCAAACTCTTGAAATCAAATTTTCCTTCCTAAGTAAAAAGGTTCTCTTTCTTATGGCACCTCACAGGAAGAAATTGTGTGCTCTCTTTGGGGATGTGGTAAACTACTCAGGACAAATGTCTTCTCACTCTTGGCTCAATCAGAAGTCCTCCAAACATGACTTTCATTTCCCTCATCAGATTTTTGGCTTGCCGAGTTAAACCACAACACCCAGCCATCCAAACAAGACATATTTCTTTCAAGAAAAGCAGAGAGCTGCAGCCAAAGAGTCCAACATTTCCCAGTCACCTACTCTTGTCGCCGACACTTAATTCTTTTCTTTGCCACAAAAGGGATTTCAGCACTTAATGTCTTATTTGTAGCCGATAAGAAAAAGGAATTTTAGACTCTGGGTTTGAAATATCTTGAACACTCATAACTAGCCCCCTCTCGCTTTCTTATTGTTTTAATCTCTCTCCCTCATAACCGAAACACTGGTAACTCCCCAAACACGTCCTGCTTCTGCTCCTTTGTAAGCATAGTTCTCCAGCTCTGCAGTTTCATCCTGAGCCCATCACCCACTTCTGCTGAAAGTTTCTTCCCTCTGGTTCCTCTTCAGGTGCACACTTTGCCTCCATGTTCCCACTGGGCCATGTGTACACTGTGTGAGCATTTACCTCTCGACATTACAGATTTCTGTGTGCAGGGCAATCTCCAATATGGTGGGCAGAGGACAGGCTGTATTTGTCCTTACTTCTCTCTCGTCACCAGGGTCTCCAATCCCTGTTGTCTAACTGAATAAATAGGTAAGATTTCACATGGCTAAACGACATTGCAGAATCACTACCATATCGCCACCATTCTAACCCTATAATTTTGCTGTATCTTCACTATTGATATTTTAATTGTACTGAAATGTGATTTTATTTGTATGTTAATAAATAAAGTTGCCTGGGGGTCAGAGCTAATAGCAAGCCATAGCAGAAGCCAGGCATTGGTGGCGTGTACCTTTAATTCCAGCTCTCAAGAGGCAGAGCCAGGTGGATCTCTGTGTGTTCAAGAATACAGCCAGCATGGAGACACACGCCTTTAATCTCAATACCAACCATAGAAGACCTGGAGGTCTGTACAGACAGGCAGTGACGAGGAGGTCATGTGGTTATGTTTACATCCAGCTCTGTGCTTCTTATTCAACAAGACCGTTCTTCTACACTTCACTGTATCCATATACCTACAATATATGAAGAAAAATATAAATGTTCTGGCCTGGGGAAGTGGGACTCAAAGCTGTATGTATAACAAAAACATCAGAATTAGTTTTTTCTCCTTTTTCAAATTAGTTTAAAAAACAGGAAGAATTCTGCTGTAAGGCTGGGGAGATGGCTTAGCTGGTGAGGTGCCTGTTGTGCAAGGGTGAGGACCCAAGTGTGGACCTCTAGAACCCACGTTTAAAACTACCTAACAAGCAAACAGGTATGGCGGCCCATCCCTGTGTAACGCAATGATGGGGGAATCAGAGACAGGTAGAGCCTTGAACATGGGCCAGCTGCCTAGCTGGATCAAGAAGCTTCAGGTTCAATAAGAGACTCTTGTCTCAAAAAAAAATAAAAGGTGGATCTGGGAATACAGTTTGGCCGTAGAGTGCTTGACTAGCCTGTGTGAGGCCCCAAGTTCAGTTCCCAGCACTGTAAATGAATAAACTGAAGGTGGGGGGCAATTGATGAGAGATGCCTGATATCAGCTTCTGATCTCTACTAGTGTGCACTCTTGTGAACACACCACACAGACACACTCACACAGACACACAGACACACACAGATAGACATAGACACACATACCACACACACACACACACACAGAAACACACACTACACAGACAGACAGACAGACAGACAGACAGACACACACACACACACACACACACACACACACACACCCTCCCTGTGCTGTCGCAGAAGTGAAGAAAGGCCAGCTACCCAGCGGGAGTTCAGGTTCAGCAGGAGAAGGGGATGATGGTCAGTTCTCAGTAACTCCCTAGTTTGCATTGATAGATGGTTTTAGAACTCTCCCAGATCTGATTTCCCTCCTACTCTGTTTAGTCTCGTTGCTAACCCAAGTCAAGTCTCTGCAAGTGCTGAATTTTAGATAACTGAATTACAGGTACGCTTTGAAAGGGGTGAGTAGACAGCTTCTGCATGACCATTCTTATATAAATATTATAAATATATACATGCCACAAAGACTAGTAAATATCTGTGACATTTTATATGTGTGTGGTATAGATATGTAACATAATATGTACATTGGTATCATTTGTGTATGTATGTGCCCATATTCATTTAACTTCAGATGTGAATGCATTTTCAGGTCAATTACAATTCAACCTCCTAATTACTACACTGCCCTCAAGGAAAATTCTAGACTCATGTTGGGTAGAAGACAGAAAAGAATGTAACCAATTAACCATCCATTACTGCAATAATAATAAGTACTATAAAAGTTGAGTGGGTTCTGGCCATTGTGTTCTGAGTAGCACAAAGAGGAAATGGTGATTTTAGGGAAAGAAGTGAAGAACTAAGCCAAGAATTCAAACAAAGTACATGTGCCTCTTTCTGAAACAAAGGCAGCCTCAATTCTTCCCTTTCCCCTCTCCTGGCTTCAAAGCTTGGAGAGGCCTTTGTACAATGTTTGTGTTTTTCTGGTTAAGATGGTTGGTCAGGAAGCATTGACAGGACCACTGGGTGGGGTGCTAAACCTTACCAGGTATGTCAGCGAGTCTGGAGTCACATGAAAACTGTGACTACCGAGAAAGAGGAAAGCATGGTTCTTATCTCCTAAAGAGCTTTACAACCCTCAATGCCCAGAGTGAGCTCGTGAACTCCGAGTGGGTGACCTTAATAGATAGAACTGTGTGGGGGCTCATTCTACCATGAAATTAAATTTTAAATCTGAATTGATGAACAAAAAATGCTGCCTTGATAGTTTTTTGGACAATAGTCTTAATAGTTTTATAACTCTTTCTCTTCCATAAGAATGGATCTGAATTGGAGACTGTGAGCAAGAGAGCATGGCTGAAAGTCTACACTTAGCTGGCAATGAGATGTTCTGTTCTGCCATCGTGAGGCTAATTCTCCACAGGCTGAAGTGGTCTCCATATCCTCCACCCTCTGACTTGCTGAAGAGTCTTTCCTCTCCTCCATCTTGGGCAGTTGAGCCCTTTCCACTGTCTATGAGACCTGGCTGTACTAGGGTCTCTAACTCTTTAACTGTCCAGTCCCCTCACTCCTTCTCAGCTCAGGTTTCTCCTTTCTGGTCTATGTAAATGTGCAGGTCTTGTCTTCTGTAGGTGATATGTTTTTTTTTTCAAGTTCTTCATTTGCTTGCCTCACTTTTTCATTACCCACACATTCACACAATGACCCCAAGCCACCTAGCATCACCTAAGCTTCAAGTCCAGCCACTTTCTTCTGGCCCTCATTTCACCCTACTTCCTCCTAGCATTGGACCCCATTAATTATTCCTCACCTCAAGTATCTTATCCATGGCTTCTAGATGAAGGACGTTCCAACTTTTTCACTGACCACCTTCAACTAATTGTTATTCTCTCAAATGTTCCCCAAAGTTCCATCCTGAGCTTTGATTTTATATTTCCGGCTCAGCACCCTCATGCTTTCTAATGACTCTAACCATTACTGCTTTCAGATGACCCCAAAACTGTATGTTGTATTTGGATTGTATTCTTGACTGAGTACATGTTCATCATTCCTATTTATCTTCTTAACATTCGCACATGTGTATCCTCCTCTTATTTCAGAATCAATATGGCCTTTCCCCGCATACCAATTCTGACTTCCCATTTAGAAAGGAGCAACATATATAGGAATATAATCCAGAAACGTCCAAGTTCTGAGCAGCGAAGAGCTGCAACAGGGATAGGTAGACACTCCCATAGCAGACCCACTTCAAAGCATTTGAGAAGCATCTTTTTGTTTCTGACTTCACTTATTTCCCATTCATTCACTCACCCATTTACTCATTCATATATTCATTCATCTACTAAGTCCCCCTTCTAAGCTTTATTCATTCACAAAGCTATCAGAGACATATATGAGTAAGTTATCACCCCTGACTTCAGAAAACTTCCTAAGAAGATGCAAAAAAATTGCAATATGCTCTCTAGATAGAAATATACAAAAGTTGGACTACCATTCTTGTTTTTTGAATTTGAATGTCCTGTGGAGGCTCACATTTGAAGTCTTATTCTCTAGCTGATGTTTCTTTTTTGGTAAGCTACACAGCATTAAGAAAGCAGAACCCAGTTGGTAGAAGTAGGTCACTATGAATGAGCCTTTGTAAACCACAGTTCATCCCCCACTTTGGGGTTCATTCTCCCCTTGCTGACCCACCATAATGTAAGGAACCTCTACCACATGTTTCCCCCTCCATGGACTCTGCTGTCTTTGCCCTGTGTAATGGACTGGGATGCTCTGAAACTGGAGAATTCCCCCTGTAAGTTGTTTCTATCATGTATTTGGTCATACCAATGCAAAAATAATTAATACACAAAATTGGTTCCAGAGAAGTGTCGTCATTGCTTTGACTAAATCTGACTGCATGATGCTTAGGCCTTTGAAACTGGTTTGTGGGGAGAATTTGGGCTAAAACTGAAAGCACACTAGAAAGAGGGAGCATGAGGCTTGCCCTGCTTATTGAACAAGGCCACCTAGGGAGCTCTCTACCCAGCTTAGTCACCCTACCCAGGTAGTCATAAGCTTCTGCATCCATAGCCCAAAGAACTCAGAACGGAATCCGATGGTATCCACATGGTGTTGAATACTAAGGTAAGATGAGTACAGGAGTTTGGGAATCATGGGAGCTTGTTCCCAGATTTGTGAGGAAGGTCTAGGAAGCCAGGGAGTGTGTGGCAGGGTTGGACTTCCTTTGGAGAGACAAAGGTACTGTCAGGACAATGCGTGAGCTTTTGACAATGAGGCCTGAGTTATGCTGGCTATCAGGATGTTGGAGAGGCCAGCAAAGTGGAACATCTGCTGAGCCAACAGACAGGCAAGGAATGGAGCTGGCCTAAAGAGAGACCTTGTGTGCTACAGATGGCAAGACCATAGGGGCAGGGCTGCACAGGCCCATTCAGATTCAGCTGGTGCTGCCATGTATCCCAGATGTTGGACACAGAACTCCAGGAATTTTTGTTTGTCCTGCTCGTTACTATCTTGACTTTTTTCTAATTTTCTCTTGCTATCTTCTTGTTCTTTCCTTTTGGAATGGGAACGTTTACTCTTTGCCATTGAATAAGGGAAGTATATAACTCTGATTTATATTTCACAGGGACTCAGTTTGTCAGTTTCAGAACAGACTTTCAACTTTGGACTCTTGAAGAGTGTTGGAACTGTTAAGACCATGGGGATTTTTGAAGTTTGGTTAGATGCAGGTTTGTTTTTGTTTTTCATATGAGATGGGCATGAGACTTTGAGAGAATGGGTAGAATGTTTTGTCTTGAATCTGAAATGGTTCCCTTTGTTCTCTTTACACTGGCTTTAGAGGCTAAGGCTTTGGACTCCACCCCCTTTTTAGAGTTTATATTACCATAGGAGGTTGGGTGGTGATGGCACACACCTTAATCCCAACACTGGGGAGGCAGAGCCAGGCAGATCTCTGTGAGTTCGAGAGGCTAGCCTGGTCTACAGAGCGAGATCTAGGACAGGCACCAAAACTACACAGAGAAACCCTTTGGAGGGCGGGGGGGAGTGGAGACACAGGAAAAGATGAAGGAGTCTGGGCTTCCTTGAGGCCCTTTAAGGCAAAGCTACATCCTCAAGGCAAAGCTATTTCCTTTCTGTCCAAAGAGTGAATCTCTGGCCCTGTGTGGTGACCCAAATCATTACGTGTTTCTTTCTGTTTCCCTTTTAATGGTTAATACAGCTGGACCTATCAATTACCTGGATAGGAGTCCATGTGTGGAGGAAACCCAGAGCCACCTGAAGACTTGCTGAGGAGAGGGAGGACTGAGGACCCTCTTAATGAGCTAATGTTTTCCTTGCAGGAGACACTCCTGCTTGCGGAACTTCCATCAGCTGGCACGGCGGGGCCTCTGCCATGTGGCCGGCCTGTTATTATGAGCCACATTCTGAAAAATGTTTCCCCCTTTCCTCCTCTTCTCTCCGTTTTTTCTTTCAGATACTGACAGAAGCCTGAGGATACTTTCTTGCTCATTTG